ACACACACACACACACACACACACACACACACACACACACACACACAACACACACACACGCACACACACGCACACACGCGCGCGCGCACACGCACACGCACACGCACACGCACACGCACACACACGCACACGCACACGCACACGCACACACACACACACACACGAGCCTTATGGCGCGTTTTTCTGTGTTAACATGTAAAGACGAGCGGACGGCTGCCTACATTGCAGGTTCAGATCGCGAGTATGTGCATGTGCATCAACATCTCCGCCTCGGTTGCCCTCGGCTGCCTCTTTACGCCCAAGGTCTACCTGGTGCTGTTCCAGCCGTATAAAAACGTCCGCCCCGGTCACCCTAACGTGCGTATGCTGGTTTTGTTACTTATCCCATCTAACAATTTAATTCGTGAAACGGGATTGACAGAATGTTCTAGAGTTTCCAGAATTTAACTTGACTCCAAATCTCACTATTATATATGTATAGTAACAGCAATCTCTGTTTTTCGCCGATTCTGGAATAACTTGTATATTACATTAACTTTGATGGGGATTTCAAGGGGTAACCTTTTTGCCGTTCGAGAACTCAATTTAGACTTTGCCGTATACCTAGATTCGACTCAAATTATCGCATTCTCCTCTCCTCGCACAAGTAAACAGATTTTTATTGCCTATTAACCTTTACCATGCGCGAGGACAAGCTTGTCGGACAAACTTTGATCTAATGCCACAGTAAATTACACATTGGGGTTTCGCTATTATAAACGATTTATTGATTAGAAGGCACACAATAGTATAGTGCAAAATTACCAATTCAATGCTCTGGGACATATATAAACAATAAACATATTTCTCTTCCAAATCCCTTCTCTTGTTAGCATTATGGATAATTCCTGGATATTCATTATTAAACAAATCCCGTCGTCGAAGCTGTTTGTCCTAGTTCCCATACTGGCCATCAAGAGAATTAAGCACTTAACGCGAGGGAGCACTATCCTTCAACAAAACAAGGAAAGAAACTATTAAAATTAATTACATCCTATTACACTGTTTAACAAAAAATTACTTTTTTCTAACACTGAAGAATAATCATTTCTTATAGTTTTTGGACGCTCAATTCGATCCTGTTTGTCAAATTGCTCTATCACGTCAGAATCTTGAGAAATTTGCAATTAAAGTTGCAAAAAAGGCTATTTTAATGTATTTTGGTACATTATAATTACGATATGTGACGTGTTGGAGAAGTTTTATTGCAATCAAAATTATAAGTACGTTGTTACGTTCAGCCTTTAAAAGGAATTTGTTGCGTCGATTATGGTTAAAAAGATATTGATGATTAACGTAAAATGTATTGCGTCAAAGTTCTAATATAATACACTAAAATAGTCTTTTTTGTAATTTTAATTGCAAACTTCTCAAAATATAACGTGGTAGAGCAATTTACTAAACGGGATCGTATTCAGCGTCCAAAAAAACAATGGCAAACATTTTCTCGTTAACCGTTATTCTCGTTCTTGTGCATTTTTTTCAACAGTGTTTTTATCGCGCGCGTGTTTGTATCATAGAATTTAATAACATTTGTTCCTCAAAATTAAAACACGATAGAAAAACCGTTTTATTTTGCAATAATTCCGATCACAAAATACTGAGAAAATTGCATCAAAATAACAATCCCCCTCCTTTATTTACTTACTTAAATTACAAGAAATTGAGGTTTAGAGTCGTAAATATATATCTGAGTTTTCTATAACTATAACGTCCACCATTAAAAAATAATCGTAACACGCTTTATCGAAGTGCAATTACAAAAGGGGGAATTGAGTCTCTATAAATCTATAGTTAGAAACAGATCGGTGAACACGTGGACACTGTGTTGAAACGTTGCAGAATTAATTGTGAACGTTATGCCGAATTCGGCTAGATTCACTGGTGCGCACAAAGGCGCATGTAAAGGCCGGTCTGAAATTGATGTTAAAGACGTATATGCTAACGCTAACGCTAAACAATTCGATCAATTTGACGTTCAGCCGTAAGTTACCGCACTGTTTGCGGAATTTATGCCGAGTAGAGTGAATTTCCATTCCCCTGGTCGAGTCGTGCTTATACGTGTGCGCTATGGTAAATCGGCGCGCGACGGCTTTTCGCTTGCAACGGTGCGCATTGTAGAAATACAGACCAGGGGAGGATATATTCGCTATTAAACTACAACCCTCGCCCCCCGCTCCCCTGTTCCGCCCAATACACCTGACGATGTCTAACAATTTATTCGGGGCTTCCGCAGACGAGCGGCTTGCAGAGCGGCAATCGCGCGGCGTACAGCATGCGCTTCGCCGCCGGTCGCAGCCAGACAATGCAGAGCGTGACATCGGCCTCGGCGGCCTCACGCAGCAGCCCGACGATGCCCCGCGGGGCCACGGGACGCGCGGACGAGCGGAAGCACGCGAACGGTGAGACCCAGGCGCTGGCGAGCCCGTCGGTCGAGGAGACTTCCGTTAGCTAGGTCGCTCTCATACACCTCCCTCCCTGTCCAGAGCATCGGGCGAGGATGCGCGAGACCGAGGCGGAGGTGTATGTTGTTAACGGCGGCAACGACGGCGGCGGCGGCAGCGGCAGCGGTGGCGGCGGCGGCAACGACAGCAGCGACGACGACGACGAAGATGGGCGCAAGCTGTCGACCGTTCAGGAACTGCCGGAGCTCACTGCCAGCCCGCCGGTCAGCCTGGCGATGCGCCAAGCACGCGAGAGGAGTCAGCGCGAGGAGTCGGGCGAACCGCGTCGCGATTCCGATCAGGTGATGGATTTTCCTCGCCTCCGACAGAGGATTATTCAGCAGGAACGCGAGCAGATTGAATGGCTTTTCAAAAGAGCGTGATAGTGAAAATCTAATCGAGCACAGCTGACTCAATTAGCTTGCAAGAGCTTGATACGCAAGAAAGCCTTTCTTTTCCATGCAAATCGCCCGCAAGGTGTTCGATACCTGGACTTTTATACCTCGCTTTATTCAAGGAATTTGTCGTTTTATTGCACACTTGGCGATTGTTCATTTCAGTTGCATCGCAGGACTTCTCTTTTTTCGCTTGCTTTCAGAAATTTACTTTTCTGAAATTTCTCACCATGGCTAACTCTCTCGCTACAACTTTGCGTTATTTTGTAGCGCTTTTTAATTTTACTTTGCCACGCTTTGTAACGTTCGTTACGGCTTTATATCGTCACGAGACGCAATTCCTAATCAATATACTCTTGTATTTCCTTCTCGAGCCGAGCGATCGCAACGAAGCCGCGATCAGCAGCATTTCCGAGAGAGTAGAAGCGCGCGCGAGGAAAGAGGGATCGTGCCCGAACGAGGAGCAGATTCTAAGCTACAGCAACTCGCCGACCTTCTCCGAATTCTCCTCGTAGTATTCGAACGGTCATCCCGAATCGCGACAGGTCCCCCCTTCAGCATCCTTCACGGAGCTTCCGACCAGCACGAAGGGCCTCGTCTATCTTGCCGCACTCGACAGCATTTTATAAACGCCAGACGTTTTATATATTCCCACGAGATGTGAGTGATCTGCCAACGCTTGTTTAACTCTTTGTACTCCCGTGGCGACACACCAAGTTACACAAGATGTTTCGTAACACTTCGATATTTTAGGAATTGACTTTTTGAGGTCATTTCACGAAGAAAAGCTTATGTGAACATATGGTCTCAAAAAGCGTTATTTCAGAGATATAGGGTGTTAAAAATTCTATAAAATTGTTTTTAATAGCTTTTAAACAAAAAAGGTTTTTTTTTTAGTAAATACTTGTAATATTCTGTAAAAAGTCAATGGCAACTATAGAAGCAAATTTTAGTGCATTAATGCCCAAAACTTTTATGACAATGGAATCAAATCTTTCTGCAGATTTTTATTATTTTATTAAAATACATTTTCTCATTAAAGATTCTAAAAAATGGTAATTAAAAGAATAAAATAATTTTATAGAATTTTTAATACCTTGTATCTCTGAAATGAGATTTTCGAGATCATTCATATTCATATAAACTTTTCTTCAACTTGTCAAATCAACTCATAAAATATTGGACAGTATTTAAGAATATAACTAAATCTGACGGACATTCTTATCATAAATTAAGTAATATACATTTGAACTATAAAAGAGGAATCTAAATTAAAATCGAAAAAGCTTCCATTAACTGAATAATTTATATTTCTAAATTATTGTGTTTTCTTTCAGGACAGATAGATTCTTTGACAACGAAAAATTGTCAGAAAATTATGAGAAATTATCAGAATAATTTTGAATGCAAAGAGTGACATTTGAAATCGTAAACGCATACTCGACGGCCGCAACTTGGTCGTCCGAAAAAAATGGTCCTTTTGCACAGACTGCGATTTTGTACAGTTATTCATATCGGAAACCTTCGTGTTTTGTTTACCCTCGGGCGCGCGTACGCCACGCTCTCGTCGACATTCAGCAAGTTTCCAGCATCACGCGGCTGAGTTTTTGAGGTCTATTCAACTTTCGCGGACAAAGACCTTTTTCCTATATGTGTGCCAATAACGCGGGGGAGTTTATATGAGTTTCGAATTGACCGGAACTCGGCAAGTACCAAGTATTTCGACGTGAAAACAATAGACGAGAGATGCATTGTATATTCATATTAAGAGAATATCCTCTACGAGAGAGAGGATTTGTATAAATTAAATATTCGATATTTCTCATAATTAATTTGCGCCAGATAAATAGCACTTGCTCGTTATTCACAAAACCATCTCGGTATTGTTATATCGACGTGGTACGGTAAATGATAAATTACTCGAAATGATGATAGATCGCCCGAAATTACGCGAAGGTGGTCCTTAAAACTCTCTCTCGTGATTTTGGAATACTGTGTACATACGTTAATTAATTATGAACGGATATGAGTGTGCTAGGAATATACGGAAGTATTACAATTCGATAATCAAATTAGCCGAGGTAATTATCGCATCCTATCGCTCGAAGACGAATCACGGATGCGAATGTTAGCGATAGCGTTAATCTCAGTCGTAGTAGAAACGAGAATTACTAATTATTATATAATGCTAACAGCGACTATGCGTAGAGGTGTCAGTTGCCAAATATTCGAAATAGGAGTTTGGTCGTGGTGATCTGGACGTTCTTAAAAAACCCATTGCTTTTATCTTCAATTCGGCTTTAAGGTAAAAATTCCTCTTATATATTAAAATTTATGCGAGAGAGGCTGCAATGAAATTGGAGACGTGAAGTACAAATCCAATTCGCACATTATTCCCTTCCGTTTTCAGCGTAGAAACTTTTGCACAGCTTATCCTTAAGTAAAAATAACTTGTGTCAAGTTGGAGAACAGATCCTCGCAAAAAAAACGGAACATTAATCCCAGCTCGAACGTATAAATTCGAGGCACAATGAATGCGCTAAAGTTAAGACAACGATGAATTTATTTTTAACGCGTCTCAACGCAGTTGTTACATCGAGAGTACGCCTAATAATGAACTATTTTGATGAGAGAGAGAAAGAGAGAGAGAGAAAGAGAGAGAGAGAGAGAGAGAGAGAGAGAGAGAGGGAGAGAGAAAGATCACACCGACCCTACAAATAACACATTCTTATACAAAGAAGCCAAAATCAAAACGATTTTATTTGCAGCACGATAAGAATTGCTAGGTAAGAAAGACTCGACGAAGCGTTTTTCGGCGACAATTATATTAATGTTGTTATAGCCATCGTAAGCGTAGAGCGTAAACGAAGGCAAAGTCTATATCGACTCGTTAGGACTGTTATTATCGTTTTCAGAGAATATCGAAAGAATGTCTTGCTAATTCGATTTCTATAATGCTATTTCGCGCATTGTACATATACGATACGCCTAAGATACCGTTGTTGATTATTTATCGTAACGTGTCTCTGCATTAATATTATCTGAAACAAATGTTTGTATGGCATACGTATCGTTAAAAATAAATTTGAATACAGTCATTGACACTTTGATTATCATGTCGCACATATGGCAGTAAGTGATGATTTTATTTAGCCGTAATTAAGGAATTATTTTATTAAGTATTTATTAAAACGTTAAAATAGAACAATAAAATATAAAAATAATACACTCGATTTATTAGAAACATGATTGTATATATTTATTTTCTATTTCTTTATTTATATTTGTTTCAATCACAAAAGACCTATTATTTTGGTTTGTAAATGACACTCTCATTTATTTCATTTAAAATTATATTATATAATTTATATTATATTATATATTATCGTACAGGATAAGGGAAAAATATCAGATTGATAAAACGTTTCAAAAGCAAAGCATTTAAGAAAAAAATATTACATACAAAAATAGGACTTCAACAAATGCATCAAACTGAGGTACCCACTTAATCTTAAGTGCAGTTATGAAAGAGATCTCAAGGCAAATTTTAAAATCTTAAATAGAAATCTCTATTGTTTATTTGATATTCTTGTAGCTGACATCTTTTTAAAGTACTATCGACCTGGCAACTTCCGCGTGATAAAACATAGTTGAAACAATTTTTGTACGTAACATTTGCTCTCAAATACCTTGTTTTCAAAATATTTTATCGATCTGATACTTTTTCCTCACTTTGTATAGCATTCCTCACTGTGTATAGTATATGTATAACATATAATATAAGTTGTATAAAATATATTTTTATATTTATTTAGCGTTTATTTTTTTATATTTATTTTTTTATTTATTTTTTATGGTTTATTTAATTTAAACCTGCATATTTTATAAATGCCCTCGTACTTCTTGACTTTACGAAATTAAATTGGCATCAAAGTGTTAAATAACTTTTTTTCGCAAATATTATCCAATTCTTTCTTCTTTCTTTTCCTCTTTATTTTTATAAGATCTGTCCTAACTTCTATTCGATTCAATTAGTATTTAAGAAACATCGCGGATTTGTGCTCCACAGATATTACTTGATTATTAAATTATTTTAATTAATGACTAATTAATATCTTTGATAATTGAGCGTCTGTAAATACATCGTATTATGATTGCGGAATCTCACTTCCCCGGGAAATAGGATATTTTTAAATTAATGTGTGTGTGTGTGTGTGTGTGTGTGTATGTGTGTGTGATTGTACAAAATG